ACCCAAGTCCTTCTGGGTGTCCACTTCTTTCAATAGTATGCCATTTACTCGGTAAACCGTAAGGTTTGAAGAATTTATTCTGCCGACTCGTATTATGTTGCACTTGCTCTCGTTGAATGGCGTGAGCCAGTCCTTTGATGACAGCTTTCTTAACCTAACGAGAAGTGTTGATCTTTTGCCATATCAGGCTCTTAACTGACTGTCATAAATGCTGTTTCTTCTTCTTTCCCTGTGTAGGAGTTGGACTCATCGAGATCGTCACGAATCCAACCTTTACATGCGCTGCTCAGACCGTGGCCTTCCTCGAGGAGTTGGCCTCCCTGTTGTCCTTCCTGGGCGTCTGTTCGGCGAACATGTCAATGGGAGAGTTGCGAGTGGACGTCAACGTCTCACTGGGCCCCGATCTCGACCACCAGGGTGCCGTGGTGGAGGTGAAGAATGTCAACAGTTTTCATGCCATCAAAAACTCAGTGGGTGAGCAACATGGTCTCTTATGCTTCTGCTAAACTTTGTACACAATGTTTACTATATAGTTCCACAGTACAGATATAATAGGAAAATGGTGGTATTCCGCGCCAAGTACCTCTGCACTGAGTCATCTTGTCTAGGTATAATAGAGGCCGGGATGAAGGGAGGGGAGGTTGCCAAATCTGGACGTGTATCCATCAGGATGGCCAAATATTGGTGGTCACGAGCAGGTACCCTCACAAAGCAGGAGAACTCCGGAAGACAAACAATTTTGAAGAGGATTGAAAAGATCCTTATTGCAAACACCAAAACACAAAAAAACTTGCAAAAAAACTGAATGCTAAAGGCCTGGAGGGCTCTGAGTCCGGGTTGTACTGATATTTGCGTGGAAGTTTAGTTTTTACCGCCTATCACAGAATGAAAAACCCTAGACTAACAGAAGAAAACAAATCAAAGATAGGATAACCTTCTGTAAGATGGTCAGGAAGTCGGCTGTAGACGACTGGAAACAAGTCGTCTTCTCTGACCGATGAATCGCTGCATGAACATTTTCCATCCGCCAAACACAAAAATAACGTTATTTGTACTCCAGGTCGTAACATGGTTGAGAACGTTGAATTTCGAAAGTTTAGCCCTACAGTCATATTGGGGGGGAACAATGTCCATTGAAGTGTCTTCTGACCTCCGATTGCGCCACTGATCACTGGTGAATGTTTTAGAGGGAAGATCCTAAAGCAACACCTTTTTAAAAGATTGGAAAAATTTCGTGTACGCATGCCAAAATTAAAGAATAAGCTTGTTCTGAACCTGTGAAGGATTATCTTTAAGCAGGATGAAGTCCCAGCTCTGGAGGTTGTTTTCAGAAAAGATACCACCTTTCTGGAG